GCCCAATTTGTTTATCGAGGACGATTCCAGGAGTAGGAAGAGGGTGTCATTCCACTGTCAAGCCAGCCAAGAAGTCCTTTGTCATGGTAATGTTTTAACAGAGTGTTAGTAACCTTTTAAGCCACTTAAGCAGCATAATATATAATGTTTTTTATTTTTTCCTTAACTCTTTCCCTAAAGTTTTAGTAGTATAAACATAGCTCACAGACAGAGAAAGGGCCCCAATGTCCGAAAGCCTTCTTTTGGAGGTAGGACGAAAGCCCAAGTTTGCCGACGTTTATGCATAATTTTTCTGGGCCCAGGCAATGGAAGGACTTCATAGCCTAAAGAAGTGTTAATTAGTTTTTCTTCCTCCCCAGGGTGTGAGGGTTACAGGGAGGGGGCATATGGGCGGTGTCATTGGTTGATTTGATCGGTCTCTTTTCTGTCTATTTTAGGACCTGTAATAAAGTGGGGGTTGGGTAAGTAAGCCCAGTTAAGTTTGGGAGGCACAGGCTAGCAGGAAAATGTATTCAGGACTCCGAGGCATTCCCTGTTGAGAGACCAAATTTTTTCTATAATTAGTTTGAGAGGAAGGTTTTTCTTACTCCCAGAAAACACCAGATTCAAACCTGTAATTTTTCAGATAGAAACCATAAAAGTTATAAGCATATTCGCTGGTTCATTCAGTCCTTCGTTAACTTTTGTGACGTCATCAGGTTTTTCATTAGAATATTAAGACATATTAAAATGTTAAGAACTCTATATAATTTTTAAGATATCTGCATTAGTAATTTTTACAGATAGCCTAAAAATACCATCTATTATATATGGTATACCATATGGCCTACCATAAACCAGAAAATATGGCTACCATATATTATAACACAAGCAGATTTATTACTCATTTGATAATCTTTTTTATGTAATTTAACCAACCAAATAAACATAGTTTAATATTTTTTCCTGGGATGCTTCAGGGGCCCTCTGAAGCATCCCAGAGTTAACTAGAAGCTAAAAGCGCTTCATCAGAATAATTTAGGAAGTTTTGTCAACAAATATCAGAAAGGTTTAGAGCATTCAGTCAGATGGGACTACAGGTCACTGTGAAACAACAGCTATTTACTCAGCCAAAGTAACAATATAGGATTTTAGAGGCAAATATAGAACAGACCATTTAAGAGGTAAATAAACATAAATCTATTGTCAAATGCAGTTCAACATCTGAAGAAAGTGTGTTCTTTTAACAGAGAGAAAAGTCAAATTCAAGTTTTTGCATCAGCTTACTTTTATTCATCAACAGTCCCAAACTTAGTTTTTCTGTAAAAGGAAATCACTGTTTAGTAGTAAATGTTTCAAAATCTTATTTTATTTGGAAATGACCTAATTATTTAATAGACTTTCAATACTTAGCTTAGCACAACCCTTAGAAATTCAAGTTATACCAATCTGGAGAGACTATTGTAGACAAATATTCCTAAAGAATAATTATTTTTAATAGAGTTTATATATAAACTCATATCTCATTTACATTTATTATAAGTTTCTTTATTCGAGGTAATTTTCTTGTTGACAAACTTGTAACAGATATAATATTTAACTTATATTAAACCTAGGTACAATGAAAATATTTTACTTGATGTTAATTATTTTAAGACATGTCTATATTAGATAGGTCAACAAACAAACATTAATATCAGGTATTTAATACTGAATATTTTCTAGTTCACCTGAACCTGGAATTTATTGTTTAATTTAGAATTATTTGATTTGTAAGTGCTTACCTTTTTTTTTTAAGCCAATTAAATAGAGCTCATTTACAAATTAACCTAAAAAATATTACCCAGAGACAAAGACACACCAAGACATAATTAGACAGACACAGTGCAAGATCTAGCTTCATTTTCTAAGATTGGTCATGAATTAGACATTACAATATAAGATTTACTAGTTTATGAAAAAAGGTTGAAATAAAAAAATTTTAAAAGCCTTTTAGATTCCTGTGTCCAGGACCAGGGGACTAGAAAAATGGGAAGGATAGGAAGGGTTAAGGAGAAGAAAGAGAGAAGGGGAAAGAGCTCAATAAAGTCTCTTGTTCCTCACCGGTCGGGGCACTCTGACCAGCTGTCTGCGTCAGGAGGAGACCAGGGACAAAAGGGTCCCAGTTGCGGCCGCTGGGTCTGGTCCATTGGCAGGCAAGCTGGCCTCTGAGTATCCCGAATGGTCAGGATGTCAGTCTCAGCGAAGAAGAGTCCCCACCAGTAGCAGGAAGGGGGATCCCGAAACCGGGCTCTTGTCTAACACTCGGAAATGAATTGTCCGAGGAGACACATGTGCTGACAAAGCAAGAGACTCCATTGGGAAGGGCACCCGGGTGGAGAGCAGGAGGGTAAGGGAACCCAGGAGAACTGCTCTCTTCTGGAAACCAAGGACATTGCTCCTGTACAAATGTGAAAAAAGACTGAACGCTGGTCTTTTTAACTTTAATTACTTTGCGGTTAAGGAGTTGCATTATGACTCCAATAAAAAGCTGTCTTTCTTTTGACTCACTTTACCCATTTCTGTTACTAATTAGAAGAAGAAAAAAAGAGAAAAAGAAGAGGCTTAATTTTAGAGAAGAACCTGAAGCCTACCCACTTTCCTTACCCTGCCTATCTTATGCAGGGGGGCCCGCGGCGCCCTAATGGGGTCCTAGCCGTCCTGAAGACTGAACAATGGGGGGGATTACCTTCGGGTTCCCTGTTCGTGGCGCCACTTGCTGGGGTCCTCATTCAATGAAAGAGGAGCAGGAGAACTCTCGGCAGGCAACACAAGAATCTGCAGCAGGGCAAACAAGAACAACAGCAGAAAAAGGGGGGAGGATACAGGGTGGGGTAGAGGCCTAGGCCAAACTGGAGAGTCCCTTATCCTAGACGGCCTTGCCTGTCAGGTATTTTCCTCATGACCTCGTCATGGATGGGATCCCGGACGGCCTTGCCTGCCCGGTATTTTCTTCATGACCTCATCACGGGCGGGACCTCCCATAATGGTTCCTGGCAGAAAGCAGTATAGAGGGTCCTCAAAACATTAAAAATAGAACTACTATATGATCCAGCAATTCCATTCCTCAGTATATATCCAAAGAAAATGAGAACAGTAATTCAAAAAGATAGCATGCACCCCAATGTTCATAATAGCATTATTTACAGTAGCTAATATATAGAAGCAGCTTAAGTATCTATCAACAGATGATGGATAAAGATTTATATATTTGTATCTATATAGATATAGATATATACACACAATGGAATATTAACGAACCATAAAAAAGAATGAAATTCTGCAATTTGCAACAGCATGGATAGATCTAGAGTATACAATGCTAGTGAAGTAAGTCAAACGGAGAAAGACAACTACTCTGTGTCATCGCTTATATGTGGAATCTAAAAAAATACAACAAACTAGTGTATATAATTGGAGAAGGCAATGGCACCCCACTCCAGTACTCTTGTCTGGAAAATCCCATGGACGGAGCAGCCTAATAGGCTGCAGTCCATAGCATCGCTAAAAGTCAGGCACGACTGAGCGACTTCACTTTCACTTTTCACTTTCATGCACTGGAGAAGGAAATAGCAACCCACTCCAGTGTTCTTGCCTGGAGAATCCCAGGGACAGAGGAGCCTAGCGGGCTGCCATCTATGGGGTCGCACGGAGTTGGACACGACTGAAGCGACTTAGCAGCAGCAGCAGCAGTGTATATAACAAAACGGAAGCAGACTCACAGATACAGACAAAAAACTAGTGGTTACCAGTGGAAGGGGGAAGGAGGGAGGGGCAAAATAGGTAGAGATAAGAGTACAAATTCATATGTATAAAATAAGGATAAATTGTATGGCACAGGGGCAATATAGCCACCATTTTGTAATAATCTTTGTTGTTGTTGGGTTTCCCTGATAGCTCAGCTGGTAAAGAATCTGCCTGCAATGCAGGAGACGCCAGTTCCATTCCTGGGTGGGGAAGATCCCCTGGAGAAGGCTTAGGCTACCCACTCTGGTATTCTTGGGCTTCCTTTGTGGCTCAGCTGATAAAGAATCTGCCTCCAATGCGAGAGACCTGGGTTCGATCCCTGGTTGGGAAGATCCCCTGAAGAAGGGAAAGGCTACCCACTCCAGTATTCTGACCTAGCGAATTCCATGGGCTGTATGGAGTCACGAAAAGTCAGACACAACTGAATGACTTTCACTTTCTTTGTTTTTGTTGTTCAGTTACTCAATCATGTCTGACTCTTTACAACCCCATGGATTGCAGAACTACAGGCTTCCCTGTCCATCACCAATGCCCAAAGCCTGTTCAGACTCATGTCCATTGAGTCAGTGATGCCATCCAACCATCTCATCCTGTGTCATCTCCTTGTCCTCCTATCCTCAATCTTTCCCAGCATCAGGGTCTTTTCTGATGAGTCGGCTCTTTGCATCAGGTGGCCAAAGTATTAGAGTTTCAGCTTCAGCATCAGTCCTTCTAATGAATATTCAGGACTGATTTCTTCTAGGATTGACTGGTTTGATCTCCTTGCTGTCCAAGGGACTCTCAAGAGTCTTCTGCAGCACCACAGTTCGAAGGCATCAGTTCTTCAGCGCTCAGCCTTTTTTATTGTCCTGCTCCCACATCCATACATGACTACTGGAAAAACCATAGCTTTGACTACATGGACCTTTGTAGGCAAAGTAATGTCTCTCTTTTCAATACGCTGTTTAGGTTTGTCATAGCTTTTCTTCCAAGGAACAAACGTCTTAATTTCATGGCTGCAGTCACTGTCCACAGTGATTTTGGAGCCCAAGAAACTGGAATATAATCTATAAAAATATTGAATCACTGTGTTGTACACCTGAAATTAATATAATACTGTAAAGCAACTATTTGTTGTTGTTCAGTCACTAAGTTCTGTCCAACTCTTTTGCAACCCCATGGACAGAGCATGCCAGGCCTTCCTGTTCCTCACTATCTCCTGGAGTTTGCCCAAGTTCATGTCCATTGGGTCGGTGATGTTATCCAACCATCTCATCCTCTCCTGGCCTCTTCTCCTTTTGTCTTCAATCTTTCCCAACATCAGGGTCTTTTCCAGTGAGTCAGTTGCTTGCATCAGGTGGCCAAAGTACTGGACCTTCAGATTTAGCATCAGTCCTTCCAATGAATATTCAGAGTTGATTTCCTTTAGGAGGGACTGTTTTCATCTCCTTGCTATCCAAGGGATTCTCATAAGTCTTCGCCAACACCACAGTTCAAAAGCATCAATTCTTCAGCGCTCAGCCTTCTTTATGGTCCAGCTCTCACATCTGTACATGACCACTGGAAAAACCATACTTTAACTAGACAGACCTTTGACGGCAACGTGATGTCTCTGCTTTTTAATACGTTGTCTAGGTTGGTCATAGCGTTTCTTCCAAGGAGCAAGCGTCTTTTAATTTCGTGACTGCCGTCACCGTACGTGTGATTTTGGAGCCAAAGAAAATAAACTCTGTTACTGTTTCCATTTTTTCCCCCATCAGTTTGCCGTGAAGTGATGGGACCGGATGCCATGATCTTAAGTTTTTTGAATGTTGAGTTTTAAGCCAGCCTTTTCACTTTATCACCTTCATCACCTTTAGTTCCTCTTTGCTTCCTGACATTAAGGTGGTGTCATCTGCATATCTGACATTGTTGATATTTCTCCTGGCAATCTTGATTCCAGATTGAGCTTCATTCAGCCTGGCATTTCGAATGATGTACTCTGTGTAGACGTACAGATGGTAAAGAATCTGCCTGCAACGTGGGAGACCCAGGTTCAATTCCTGGGTTGGGAAGATCTCCCGGAGAAGGGAATGGCAACCCATTCCAGTATTCTTGCCTGGAGAATCCTTCTGGACAGAGAGGCCTAGTGACAGTCCATGGGATCACAAAGAGTCGGACATGACTAAGTGACTAACACCACTACTCTGCATAGAAATTAAATAGGCAGGGTGACAAAATACAGTCTTGACGTACTCCTCTCCCAATTTTCAACCAGTCTGTTGTTCCATGTCTGGTTCTAACTGTTTCTTCTTGACCTGCAGACAGGTTTCTCAGGAGGCAGGTAGGGTGGTCTGGTGTTCCCATCTCTTTAAGAATTTTCCACAGCTTGTTGTGATCCACACAGTCAAAGGCTTTAGCGTGGTCTATGAAAAAGTCCATGGTTTCCTGGAACTCCCTTGCTTTTCCTGTGATTCAACAGATGTTGCCAGTTTGATCTCTGGTTCCCCTGCCTTTTCTAAATTCAGCTTGTGCCTCTGGAAGTTCTTGGTTCACATACTGTTAAGGCCTAGCTTGAAGGATTTTGAGCATTATCTTTCTAGCATGTGAAATCAGTGCAATTGTGCAGTAGTTTGAATATTCTTTGGCATTGCCCTTCTTTGGGACTGGAATCAAAACTGGCCTTTTCTTTCTTTGGGATTGGAATGAAAAACTGACCTTTTTCATTGTTGTTGTCCAGTTGCTAAGTCCCATCCGACTCTGCAGCACTCCAGGCTTCCCTGTCCCTATCTCCTGCAGTTTTCTCAGACTTATGACCCTTGAATTGATGATGCATCATGTGGTGTCTTCTCCAGCACCACAATTCAAAAGCATCAATTTTTCAGCATTCAGCCTTCTTTCTGGGTCTTACTTAGGTCACCTTTTATTATGAGTTTTTCCTTTATGTTAGTCCTTCTCCTCCACCCTGTGATTTTTACTGGCCAGTCATCAGAATAAAGAGGGCAGGAATTTTCTTTTTTATTTTTTTTCCACTTTGGATTTTCTTGCTCCAAAGAAAATGCCTTGAAAACAGTAAATGAAGGCTCAGTAAGAGGATGTTGGATGAATGAATACTGTGATTATTGTGTAGGATGGGTAGCCTAGTCTCATTTTTTTTCTTTAAAGTTAAAAATATATGTTTGTGTCTAGACATTTATGACTATTAATTTTTAAAGCCTTCAAGATTTAACACCACACTGCAAATAAACTATACTTCAATAAAATTTTTAAAAGGGTTGGGGGGATGAAATGGTAATAAATGAACAAACCACAGGGGTGGGGTAGGGGAAGTTTTTTTAACACCATAAAATACATATTTACAGTGATTTTTTTCCTTTGGACTCTTCAGTTTTCCCAAAGGCTGAATGGTAACTTTTAAAATCAGAACTTCTTTCCCAAAACATATTTTTCTGTTTTGACTCTTTTGTTTTCCTATCTTTTAAATTCAAGGTCAGATGGGAGCTTGTGATTTCATTATGTAAACGAAAGATTGTATGAGTTAAAAACTTTTAGGATGACATCCCTACTTTATTTTATTTTATTAAAAAAAAATTTTTTTTTACATCCCTACTTTAAAGGGCTTCCTGGGTGGTGCTAGTGATAAAGAACCTGCCTGCCAATGCAGGAGACATAAGAGACACAGGTTTGATCCCTGGGTTGGGAAGATCCCTTGGAGAGGGCAGAGGAGGAGCCTGGTGGTCCATAGGGTCGCCAAGACTTGGATACGACTGAAGCAACTGAACATGCACGTACACATCCTACTTTAAAAATCAAATGTGCTACTGTTTTAAAGGAGTTGTGCTACTTTACTTGGAGAAATAAATCCAAGAACAAGTATTTAGGGAAGTGAGAAATAAACGCGGATGGAGTGGAAAGTATAGGCAAGGTATGGTTATTACCAAGTTTATATATGTAGTAAAAAAGCCCAAGTCACGCAGCTGTGTCTGTGAAGAGATCACAGAATTGCTTTCCCAGTTTGCGGCTCATCACCTGACTCTTCCAACTGATAGTCTGTGGTAGCAGAGACTTTCTTTTGGCCATAGTCAATTAAAAGTCTAGTCCAGGAGATGCTCTGCCATTTCCACTCCCAGCAGTGTTTAGTTACCAGTCACTCTCCTTTGTCTGTCGGCTCTTGGCTGTTTATGCTGGAGAGATGGCAGGCCATTCAGTTAGCCAGCAGCCCAGGCCATGGGTGTGACTCCTATGTCTCTGCTGAGGCTGAGACGTAAAGGTATGAAATGATGACGTGGAAGCAAGCCATAGAACGGGCCTAGTTGAATAGTTGTTGTTTGCTGTTTTGTTGCTAAGTCATGTCTTAACTGTTTTTGTGACCCCAGGGACTGTAGCCTGCCAGGCTCCCCTGTCCATGAGATTTGCCAGGCAAGAATACTGGCATGCGTTGCCTTTTCCTTCTCCAGGGGACCTTCCAAACCCAGGGATCGAACCCATGTCTCCTGCATTGGCAGGTGGATTCTTTACCACTGAGGCACCAGGGAGACATCTGGGAGGTGGGATCAGTGTTTGAAGAAAGAACATGGAAGCTGAGAAATACAGCAGTCAAGGACTGGGCTTTGCAGAATTGCCCCAATTAGGGAACAAGAGAGGAGAACAAACCTTCCTGAAAAAAGATGGAGAAAGAGCAGAGGTGAGCACTTTCATAATCAGTAGGCAATAGTGACCTTTGAAAAAAATGCAGTCATTTTCTGCTTTTGATGGAGTAGGGGGAAATGGCAAGAAAACATGTATAATGTGTGTTGGCCACATTAATTTCTCATGGATGGAGTGAAGGCTAAAGTGATCAGTTTGAAGACAAATTAAACAATCAGTGTATCTTGGAAACTCCCCTTAGACCCAGGGCTTGAGAATACCTTCCTTTGTCTCACTGACCACATCACATTGAGAGGATCCTAATCTGTTCTCCTAAATTCTCTGATGCCAAAGAGACTGTAACTGTTTTGGAGGATTTTCCAGTTTTGCTCTGGGGAGATTAATACTCCCAGTTTTTCTAACCTGATGTTCTCCACAGGTTAGTAGACCCTAACTGTAATGAGGCTTTGACCCTTGAAAATGTGAGAGTCAGGGGCACCAACCCTCCATGCAGTTAAAAATCTGTGTATAATTTATAGTTGGCCCTCTGTATCTGCAGTTCTTCTGTATCCACACCCTCAGGTCCTGTAGCACTGTGGTACTTATTTATGGAAAAAAATCTGCATATAAGTGAACCCCAAGTTGATCAAGGGTCAACTATATATCAGTCTATGAACCACTGAGTGTAGAGGTTAAGAACATGAACTCACTAGTTCTGCTACTGTTTAACTAGGTGGTTTTAGGTAAATTAGTTAATTGTCTTCCGCCTCATTTTCTTCATCTCTAAAGTGGACAATAATACTTAGTGCCAACTGCCTATAGAAATAAAAATGCACAGTGTAAGCATTGTGAGTTAAATTTGCATCAGGGTCTTACTGAGGACGAAAGCCAAGGAAACAACTTCTCAGTAGCTCTGAGAAACTGCTCTGAAGAGGTAAGAGAGAGGCTAGTTTATGTATGATAGTTTTTGGTAGGGAATGCAGTCAAGCAGGTATCTTGGTAAAGGATTACTGCTGGTTTACAAAGAACAGGTATCACAAGTTAATGACTTCAGGGCTCTTCTCTGTATGGGAAGATAGCAAGAAGCTGGGTTTATTAAAATTCTTCTTGAGATACACCTAACTATTTCAGGGCCTGTTTGCCCAAAGCAAACAATAAGCATCCTCTCATTGTCTTAATTTCCTAGGCCTGGAGCACAGAGTGCTTCATCCTTTTATCGCTGTAATCTCTTCTGATAACAGAGTGCACTGTTGGTCAGTGACTGCAGCAGGTTAATTCATCCTTGTAGAATTCACTGATGAGCAGAACACTCTTTGCTCTTTTTTGTTTGTACAACCTAAACAGTAATTGTTGAGAATTAAATGAGATAATATCTGTAAAGCCACAGAATAGTGTCTTAACAGGTAGGAGCTCCTCCATAAATGTGATGTTAAACCAATGAATTCTTAACTCTTAAGATCCAGGAAAGAAAAATAAGAGAATAGTACTGCAAGGGTACTGTGGAATTGAAAAAAGTTTATTTTCTCGATAAAGGACACTTGTATATGTTTGAAAGTAGAGGTGCTAAAGCCAGGTCAGCGGAAAGGGCTAAGATCATAGAGGATGGAATTGGGAGCGCACGTGGAATGAGGGGCTTCCAAGGTGGCACTAGTGGTAAAGAACCCGCCTGCCAATGCAGGGATATGAGAGATGCAGGTTTGATGCCTGGGTGGGGAAGATTCTCCTCGATC